TCTGATGTAATGTTGATCTTTGCTGAGTATTTTTCCAAGTATAATTCTTTGTTTTTGACTGCTTGAGAATGTGGTGACGACGTTTTCTCGAGAGGGGTGCTTGTTAAGACTTTTAGTGAAGTTCCATAGTCATAAGAAGGAGGAGTAACCTGAAATTTGAGTATTCGATAGATCCGGGAGTTGAGATGATTTGTGGATACAAAAGGTGAATGGTTTTTGAATTGTTGCCGTTTTACTTGGCGATGTATGTACGGAGGATCTCGTAATCGTGTCTCGTACCGAGTAGGGGGGCTGTTTGTGTGTGTACTCGGCAGGATACGAATCTCCGAGATCTCCGGGGGTTACGCAGATAGATATTGTACATGATGGGTGTGATGGACTTGACGTGTAGGCTCTGCTTGCCTGCCCATGTCTCTCACTCGTTAATAGTTAATCAAGGAACTTGAGTCACTCCTTTGTGCAACACGCTCTCGACAAGAGCCCGCGAGCGTGATAACATAGTACACGCGCCGACACCCCAAACATTCGAGTCCAAAAAAATTACGTAGGACCCACCCTCAGCGCAGCGCGACACATTGGCAAATATGTGCATATATATGCATGTCAACCATGCAGGATCGGTCTCGCTTTCATAGCGTGACCCGTGCATCTCGCATATACACTGCAGCAAGCAGTCGTTCACGGGGTATCGTACGTGTGTACATGTTTCCAAACGGAACAGAGTTGTGCTGGGGTATTGCCCGGCTGCCATTGTTGATTTAGAGCGGAAGAGTTGATCGTTGGTGTTGTTTCGCAGGGGCGGAAACTGATTCCTGCCCCGTTGCCATGGTTGTTATTGGGCGGGAAGAGTCGCCGTTTGGTACAACTGTAGTATCTCATGGTTGGAGGGGAAAGGAGTTGGGAAGATTCCTGCGGGGGAAATGATTGATGAAAGGGTCTGATTTCCCGACAAGTCAGGGTACATTTTCGAAAACAGGGTACAGTTTTTGAGAAAAGTGGTCACGGCAGGGTATACCCTGGTCGAAAAGCGACGCACCGGGGTGAAATTGGGCGGTGACCATTCAAAAAAGCGCATTTTCTGCTGTTAATGACTGTGTACCCAGTTGTGTCGCTTTTCGACCAGGGTATATACCCTGTTGTGTCGTTTTCCCTTTTTTATATATATGTTTCTCGCCTTGTTTTGGGGATCACCAAGATGGCTTGTATTCCTCCTGAATCGACTTCTTTCATCAGATATCGCGAAAAATAAAAAATGGACAAATTGTCCCAGACTGACCATGTCGAAATTTATTAATCCTGCTTGCTATATAGACTGTCTGTAGTTCACAACACGAATATAACGTCACCCCACAAACGACAGGTCTCCTTCATTCTACCGAACCAGAGACACTCTCCTGCACAGAAATAACACAACAGCGTATGGTACTCGATAATATACGATACACGGATATTCTCTCGCGCCGTCCGCCCTCGTCGTGCAGCAGCCCATTGACACGAACCTGCAGCAGCACATCTTTGAAGCAAGTCCAGCACGATGACGTCGAACAAGTACCCCTCTTTACCCACCCATTCCGAGACGAATATGCCACACAACCAAACCAACTCTCGCAGTGTCCACACCAACAAGAAACACCACAAAAGAGAAAGGAATCTGGACCGATCGACCAGCCAATAACAACAAAATCGACCTCAACAGCATGTACGAAGTACAAGAGTTCCCACTCTGTGGCACATATAACTACGAATTGAAGCCCAAGCTGAGGCCGCCGGAATCGACGCAAACGGTCACACGAGCGCAACTGAACACGCACATCTCCCTGAAAGTCGGGCAACCACGACCATAGAAAATACAAGTAAGCAAACAAACCGGGAGCCTATGCCTCTGAACCTTCGTAACCCCCCGTGACGAAATTCCAAGCCGAAAACGTGAACGTCCGGAAGCGAAGCTACACCAAATTGGTACCATTCATGACCGGCAAAAAGACTTAAGTAGACACAGATCCCCCGATCTTAAACCTATCCGCCAACGCGGCTCAAGATCCGCGAGGCCTCTCGCATTCAGGTGGTTTGGCCCAAGGGGAGCGCCGGGCGCACTGCCCTGCTGCGCAGCACACCAGTCACGACAAAAAACGAAACACCTTCGGCGAAACCTATCTCACTTTGCTGCTCGTAGGCGATCGTACGATAACTCACCGACAGGACAGGGAAAAAATACGCCCAACAGCCAAAATCGCCGCGCGCAAAAAAAAGCAATCAACTGTCTTACTTAATCCGTCAGAAAAGACTCTTGTTCTGCAAGATACTTTTTACCCTCCCAAAAGAGACAGATAGCTCAAGACATAAAAAGAACCCCCCACCCCTCCATGTGAAGCGTCCCGTTTGGCCGCAGCTCCTCAACATCACTTGCCGCTCTTGTGCTCCTCCGCGGAGTAGTTCCCGCCATAGGGGTTGGAAGATGTTGCCGAAGGGGGAGCCGGTGCCCCCATGTCTTTACCTGCTATCGATTATAACAAGACAAGAACCGGACCGGATGGGGTGAGTCAGGCTTGCGCGAAGCTACATGTGGCCTAGCACAGGAAAATGTCTATGAACGGAATCAACGAGGAGAGGTTCCGCCTGCTGTTGAGGCCGCTGCAGTTGGAACATATTTGTCGTAGTGTAATCCTGGTTCGGCTTGGTTCACGTTGGCACCCACCTTTCCAATGAAACAGAAAACACATCTAATCAACCTCGTATTTGATTACCTCGCGCGCGACAGTCGCTATTTTTCGAAAAAGCAAGTAAATGGAGCGCCACGTGCAGTGACAAAAAACAATACGGTGAAACAGATCCCGTTCTTGTCTGGCAATATGTTTGTTCCAAGTGATCTTGAATAGATCGGACCTAGTCAAACATCGGCAGCCATGAAAACAGGGATGCCCCCGCTCGCCAATCAAGTCATCATGATTCGTCTACAGCAAGTCGCAACTCGCGCCCCACCTCAGGAATGCCGATTGATCCCTTAAATGAAGGTCATGGTACGGACGACCAAAACGGCTACACAACTCTACCCACACGCCGTCGCTGCTACAATAGAGCATGAATCAAAACACTGGACGCCTTCGTGGTGCCTTCTCTGGCAACGAAACACGCTTGTCTGCGCCAAATGATCCAATATCTTCAGACCTCGTTGCAGAACAGCCTACAGCATCGACCATAGGTACCAAGATCTCAAGGACCTAGGAACTTGCAGGGTGAATCATTTACCTGATCCACCGCCGTAGCTATCCAGTTCGGCCTCTTTGTCCCGGCGCCATTTGAAGAAGAAGAAGAGCATTGGGCAGATGCAGCACAGCACCACCGCAGCGTAGATCAACCACGCCCACCTGCAGGACATGGCAAACAGTGCAGTACAAAGCGTCGAGACATGAGGAACGACACAAGGCAGGTAGGTTCCAAGACTATGCAAGAAAGCGCCATGTACGGAGGAGGTGCCGCCAGCGCAATGTTACACAACGCAAAACTTCTTTCCTCACCATGGCCACCAGACGTCTGTTCCCCCAATGTTGACCACGTCCTTGCTCGTAGTCGTGCCCTGGTTGTCCACGACGTCCCCGTTCGAATCAAGCCAGATCACCAAGAACCCCAGGCTCAACAAATCCAAGTCGGTCCCAGGGAATTCAAGCTGCGGAGAGAAGCAACCAGCCAACAAGACACGACAAGACACAGTCAGCATGAAAAGCTCTGGGGAGAAGTTACGTTCGGATTTCTATCTAGAGGTGGGGCTACCAAGAACAACGCATCCCGCTCATCGTCCAAGATGTTGGAGTATGTTGGAATGGAGGTGTATCGAAAAACCTGCGTCAGTGGCGAGCGCCATTCAGGCAAGAAAATTCAGCCCCGACCCCTAAGCCCCGTCACACAAAACCGACGGAAGTCATCCATTCAAAAGTACCTACACAGCTGAGGCAACACAGCGTGATGTGCGTAGAGCACAAGCCAAAATTGACAAACCACACCATTCGATGAGACTCTACCTCTGCATCCTGAGCCTTGATGGACGTCGCAATGTCTTCCAAGAACGCTGTCGTCAACTCTCCAGGGTAGATTTGGTCCACCTAGATAAAATAGATTATAGACAGCGCATCGGGGACGTCATCAGGCGAGAAGTGCAGATCTATCAAGCTGTGCAAACGTCGTGCAGGAAAGACACATGTGGGGGAGGAGCTGCCTATTGTCCATGAAGGCAGGCCAATTGAATTGAACGCATGCATACCACATCTCTATCGCTCAACCGTCCTCTGCTTTGGCGTGCTTGGAATACGTGCCATGGTAAATGAACTATGCTACCGAACCGGATATGTACGCCCTGCACCCATGAGTGCTCTGGGAGGGTGGCATTAAATCTGCCTACCTGTGCCGAAGCAATGTCCGCCGCTGAGCCCGTCTCATCCGCCCTGTTGTAGATCGACACCCTCCGTTGCCAGTTGTCCACCGTGCATCTAGTCAACGAGTCGTCTACCATCACATCGTCAGCGCTCTCAATCCCAAATATCTCCATCACAGCTACCTTCAACTGGGAAGGAAGACAGGTCCATGCCAAGTGTCAAACGAGTTGAAAAGGGGGGGCGGGGGGGGGGGGGTTGCGATAAACCCGTATACGTCCATTTCCGGTTTGGAAATTTCCGCACGCAGACGACCTGAGTACTCCGTCTGCTGTTCAATCATTTCTTCGGCGTTGGGCAGCAGGCAATCGCTTAAAAAGCAGCACCATCAGTCGACCTATTGCGCATTCTACGAGTGTTTTCTTTGATCATCACTATAAATCAGCGCTCACAACATGTCTGCCCGGTAGGAGCCCCAACTGCCCGGTAGCGCGCCGAATTGGGCACATGCACGATAATGATGCCATCTCTTATCCACCAAAAACAAAGCTAGGCAGCTTTAACTTGCTGAGGGAACGGCATGATTCCGTAGCTAAGGGGCAGAACGGCCGGGTAAAGGCGAGGTCTGATGCCCTCCGGAACCAAGCGAGAGGTTGGGATATTGCTATGCATATGACCTCCGCTGGTGTGAAGCAAAGGGAGCTTTTAGTCGCCCCCGGAACCAGTTGCTGAAATCACACGACATAGTGTTTCGAATCTCGGCGCACTCATACGCACAAAAGGGATTCCTGCACTATTTCTCACATCATATCCAAACAAATGCGGACTAAAGTTATGACCAGAGATTCGGCTTCATGGTCGACGAAGGAAAGGCAATCGGAAAGGAATCACGCACGCACCGCAGAAGGGAGATGGAGAAAAAAAAAACTCCTGGGTGATTGTTACTCCTTTCTGAACCCGACTGGCGTCCAAACACATGTTTTTACCTAGGTGCAAAAATCGTCTACAGTCAAGGTGGACGTCGAAACATAAACCACCTAATGTCATGTCCAAAATAAAACCTATACATGTAGTGCTGTTGTTGCCCGTACTCTGGTGTAGCAACATACGATACACTTCTGAGGTGCACGGCATAGTTGCGCCATCCTGCTGTAACACGTAGGTGTGTCGGCCGTAATGGGCAAAACATGATAAACAAAAACATTCGCAGTACAGCAGTTTACCAGCAGCAGTACTGCAATACATAGCAATCCTCCCCGGAAAAAACATGGAACGAGCGGGGGTCCGCGGTGTGATCCCGGCTGGTATCATACGTGCACAGACAGGTGCATCCTCCCGTTGTCAACGTTGTTGTCCGATGTCCAGACATATAGGGCATCTGCTCATGCGTTCAAAGCTCGTGAAGGAAGGAAAGACACGGGCATATCAATCTCACTACCCACGATGGGAACACATTTTACTTCTCACATTTCTCTAGGTCTGTACAGCAGTAGGGGGGGGCGATATGAGGTCACCTGCCCGATATAAAAGGCCAACAGCAGTGCAAGGCCGGTGGTGGCCTTACAGTTATCAGGCACCTCTTGTATGACCGGTTATGGCCCTCCGCCTGCCCCCCAAAAGGCCGGTCTCAGTGAATACGAGTAACGCTGGTTTCGAAAGCGGCAATGCCGAGGCCGCCATCTTGCAGAGGGCGAAGTTGCTAAGATGGTGATGATCGCAGCGCACGCTGCACATCCCACGCGACATGCGGACTTGAGGGAATTTCCGTAGATGTGATGAGTTGATGGGAGGAGTCATGGTAGCGTTTTGCCGTGTCGGTGGTGGTCTCGTTTTTTCATGAGGGTTTGTCAGGATTGGGTAGACTGCAACTACAGTGTACAATACATGTGCCGTCCCGGTCATTTCTCGGTTCTCGCAAGTATGGCAAGGGCTGGGGTTGCAACACAATATATAGGATGTACAACTTGACGGTCATTTGTCTGCCGGGATAATCATTGCGTACCGGTTGACCATGAACCTGGCAGACGAAGAAAGGTTGGATGGGAAGCATGATTTTGAACGTGATACATATCGAAGCACCGAATCAACTTACGCACATGTGGCGCTTCGTATGGCCTAGGCAAGTGAATCTTCAATAAGGTCATACTGTACCGACCGGCCTTATACAGGGCCAATTCTATTTAAGGCCGGGTGTCCGATATCTAATCTTGTGGCACTATAAAGGCGGTCTAATCTTGTGACACTATGCTGCCGTATATCGGGCCTCCCATATACTTCTCGAGCAAGGAAGGGTGGTGCGGTTGGATAGGGGCGCGCGTCCTGATTATATAGTGGGGCGCGACGGAATCTCGGCATATTTTCCTCTCAGAAAATAACGAAGGCCTACAGCAGTGTGAAGCGCGCGCATATTGGCCGGCCTTGGGAAGAACGAAAGATGGCGTGCCATGAATAACATAATGTTGTGTTTTATCGCGTACCTGATCAGCGGTTGACGTAGCCGAGTCGGAGTTGTGTTCCTCCGAGAGGCAAATCGTCATCTCAAGCTGTGTGGCGAAGTCGTACGTGGCTGTCTGCAATCGGCGCCCCGCCCCATCAACGGCCTTCGTAGTTGCGCCGTTCATCCCGTTCCCACTTGTCGACACGCCAATAAGTACCATCAACGGGACCAGCGCTGCCAGGGCCTTCAGCACCAAGTTACCCGGCTTCTGAGCGATAGTCATGGCGCCGCGCGTTCCTCCTCCAAGCAAACGTCCCTATCCCCGCGGCGTCTACCACTCTCTCAAGGCGTAAACTCTTCCCTCTTCACACCGCGGGCTCCGATCGCTTGTATTCCTCGCTAACCCCGCTCTCTCGCTCTCTCTCTCGCTCTCTCGCTCTCTCGCTCTCTCGCTCTCTCGCTCTCGCTCTCGCTCTCCAGGGAGCTCACGCGCTTCTCTTCCACAGCCTCTCCGTGCGTCCCTTCCCTTTTCTTCTGGTGCCGTGTTTTCCCGAGTTCCAGGGCCGTCGCTCTTCTCAAGGTGGTGGACAACAGACCTGGAACACGGGTCGAGGACTTCCGGGGTCCAGGGTGGGGGTCTTCGATGATATTTCCCGACATAAGAATGCGGCGGGTGTTCCAGCCGTGGGACCCTGACAAATCGTCAAGACGCGGAGAGATTATTTGAAAAGTGGACACGGTCATTCAGGGTCTTGACACGCACAATTCCTGCTGTAACATATACATCCCACACTCTCCTCCCTCCTTCTCCCACCAGCGTCTGAGCCCGCGCCCGCTTGCGTGCAATCGATAGGCAGGCCTCGAGGCAGCACACGCGTGCGACCCGACAGCAACACCCATCGACCAACCAGCGATCAACAATCCCACCGGACTCTTGTCTACGTGCTCATCGTGCTCAAACGTACCCGGTGCGTCCGACTCTATTTCAGCGAACTCGAGCAACATAGCCACCACCGCCACCACGCGGGCAGGGAGGAGAAACGCGGAGGTAAGCATGGCTCGGGACGAGTTGCTGAAGAAGTCTCGCCGAGGCGCTGCTGTGTCGGCAAGACTCGTGAGGACAATGCCTGCGGCAAGGGCATCGTCACTTTCGTTTAACCCGTGGGTCGCGCAAAACTGGGGGTTGGTCATCGCGGCAGCAGCGACAGTGGCCACCGTCGCCTTCTCGCTGGGGACTACGGCAAGCACCTCGAGGTCCGGTGCGATGACCGGCTCTGCTCGCGTTGGACAGCAGTCTCTCTACGCGTCGCCGAAGAGCCGCGGTGGCATTTCTGTCGCCCAGACGCACCGACCCTCCTCGGTACGGCCGCATGGACGTGTGCTGCAAGAGGGGACCCCCACTGTCATCACCCCCATTGTCGAGTACGGGACCAAGTTGCAGATCTTCATGTGCAATCCTAGCCTGGAAGTGGAGGGAAACGACGCACACCTGGTGGATGAGGCGAGTTTGGCCGCAGCACTCAGCAATATCAGCGGAATCAAACAGGTGAGATTTGATGCGGTGCCCCAAAATTTCCAGTCGTGAAGTGAAAAGTACTTGGGCCGCTTTAATTATTGATGTAACTTCAGGGTCTCGCCGCCGTTTTCACAAATCACAACGGACTTTCCTCTTATACATCGCAGCAGCAGCAGCAGCAGCAGCAGCAGCAGAAGCCGATGCGTCGCAGACCTGTGGTGTGTAGATTCTACTGTCGTAGGCAAGTGCGACGCTACTCGGTAGGATGTAGCAGCAGCAGTAGAGGTACCAAAACGACCCACAAAATGCACGAAAAAAATGTTTACTTTCTAAAAATGTACAGTACGAGCCAGTCCTTCCGAGCGTGCTGTCTGCCTCGCCAAACCCGCCTGGTTATGTCGCACACAGCTAGCTACTACGCGGTTGTTATCATGTGTACCCCTCGGTACAATCGGTGCAATTGCCTGATTTTTTCCCTTTCTACCACTGCTGTGCTGTGTACCGTCCCAGGCCGATGAAGGTGACATCACGGTGACGATCAAGACGGAGCCGGTGGATGTGGACGACGTAAGCTACATGTGCGACACGGACGGCATGCTGCAGTGGCACGCCCAGGTCGAATACAGTGCGGCCTACGCCGGCTCGAGAGACACTACGCCGGCCGTACTGGCAGCGCAAGCCAACGACTACGTGGCGTACTCGTCTTCCCAGTTCAAGGCATTACTGGCCGGATTCATCAATGCTGAGGTGAAAAAGCCCGGCACACGTCAAACTTCAAGTCATACGCAGCTGTCATCCGTACGCAAGGAAGTAAGCACAAGATGCCGAACAACCCTTAGCAGGATGCAGCGCACCGTTCATGCGAATCGCCAAATATCTCACGGCGCTTTGCGCTTGGTGATGTGAGAGCCTGGTCCGGTGGGAACCCGGCGTGCTCCGTCCCGGCTTTGTAGGGATGCGAGGTCAATGGTCTAACGACTACGGCATGCACGACTATGAGTACACGTCAAACTCAAAGCTGCCGCGCGAAGTTCAGGAGATATCGTTTCTTGTCGGGGTGGGCTTGCGACCATAGGAACTCTGTAGGTTTTTTTCCCTTGGGGATCAGAGATATGGGATGGGAACTACTCTTGTTGTTGTATTGGGAATTGGAGATAGTTGGTGTTTATATTTTGCACTGTTGTCAAAAGGTGGAGATGTCAATAACAACGAAAAAATGGTGAGTGATCACCGCGGATTCCTCGATGAGCGTAGAGTAACGTAAAACATCACCGGGTAGCAGATAGGAGTCAGATGAGGGCACGTGCTTTGCTTGCTGGGCCAACTTCAACAGTCTCGCGATACAATGAGGAGGACACACGTACGCGGGGTTTGTTTGTGTTGTCGAACAACCTCGCGCTGCTACTTTGCTGCCGCGTTCGTAACAACAACAGTACGCAGGAGAGGCCGAGACTGTTGAGATATCTGCTGACGATATCTTGATCCCCACCGTGGGTTGGATCGTCACCTTCCCGGCGGAGGAATCGGTCACGCAGGAGACCCACACCGCTGGCAGTTCAGATGGGCTTGCGATGGGGATTGGGAGTGACAGCAGTTTGTGGGCGTGGTGGGTGTGGCTGATCTACGCGCTGCTGATGGCGTGCTGCTTGGTGCCGCTGTGTTGTTGCTTGCGCAGGAGGTAAGCGACTGGTGGCGGGTTGTTGATGCTGCGTGTGTGTACGAGTAAATGACGAAGCGGTAACATTGTGGTATACTATACGGTTGTGTGTCCCTGTCCCTGGCGCCCCTACCTAACTACCTACCTGACCTGGTCGGACGTTCGAGATGTATGTTGTTTTCCAGCCAACGGTTCCTAATTTCCTCCTGTACAGCTATACGCCTCGCCCTGACTGTAGCTTGCCCCGGCTGTTCCTCCCCCCTTGCATTCTGGTGTATTGTTTTGTCACGTGCACCTTCTTCCGTTCGATTGCCTGGCCCGCTTGCAGGCGAACGGACGAAAAGGAGGCTGCCAGGGATCGATTGATTGCTACTCGCAAGGGCCGAGGCGAAGAGAGCCTTGCCAAGATTCGCGGACCGGAGTGGGGCATCACCGAGCTAGACTTCGAAGGAGACTACGACGCCTACCAAAGCCAGGAGATGAAGCGCGAGTATGACGGCGCCGGCAGGGGCGTAGACCCGCCGGCATACAGACCATCCCACAGGGCCGGCCAGCAGAGCGTCAGCGCTCAAGCGTGGATGCAGGAGGTGAGCGATTTTCAGCGGAAGTGAAGTCACGCCATGGGGTATCTTGGAGGGCCGTTTCGCTATTGTCCTCCCGCTTCGACTAGGCCTGTGAAGCATGACTCACCCCCGCCCCGCCTTCTCTTAGAACCCTTCCTCTATTCTTTCCTTGGCGTTGTGTTGCGACTGACTGCATTCCCCATGCCCGCCGCCGGATCAACTCTTGTTTATTTAGGCTGGCAAAAAATCTGCTTGGGCACAGTCTTCCGGCAATTCGTCACGGCAAGGCGGTGGACAAAGCCCGGTGGTCCGGCGTTTCGACATCGACGACGACGACGCTGACGATGGAGTAGGAAAGCTTCGCAGCAAGCACCCCCAGTACAGCTTCGACGTAGGACGGGGAGGATTCAATGATCGTGATGGCGAATCGACGTCCTGATTTTTTGCGAAGCATTTTTTGAAGGCTTCAATAATCGTGATGGGGGTTCGAAATCCTGAGTTTTTAGAAGTGTAATGGTGTGAGTTGTTGGTTGGGCGCAAGGGTGGAGAAGGGGTGGTAGTATCGAAGATGGACAAATTCGGGATTTGGAAGCGCGTGTTTCTCGAAGACGGTGGTGGCGACGGTAGTGTTCAATTCAACGTTGAGCATATTGCAGGATCTCGAATCCCATCTTGCTTGGATTGAATGGACATATCCCATTGTATACGGAGAGCAGCATTTTCCCCTGTAAAAACAAAAAACAATGTTGCGTTCGGTGTTTTGTTCTTTTTTGCTGTTGTTGGTAGGTCGTTAGTTGGCTAGAGTTTATGTCGTGCATTTTTTCCATGTGGTTGACGTTTTTGGGCTGACCTTGCGTCTATTCTGTGTGTGTGCAGCAGACTTCATCGCCGTACCACATGCACAGCAGTGGTGGGGGCAAACGAAAAACATATCTGCGACGAGCAGTCCATACTCCATGAGCGCGACTCTGGATCTTCCAGAAGGAATCTTAACCTTGTTGGCCGTTTCTGAACAAGCACTCCAGCTTAGCCGGAGAGGCAATTTCTGCCTCGCGGGTAAACGGAACCGTCTCTTGTTCTCCGTACTCGAATGCGCGAAATACAACGGGTCCAATGTTTTCACGATTGAGGCCCTCTTGGATAACTCCAGGCAAGGCACTCGGGGCCGGCGGTTTTGGTTGCGCGCAGGGGCATGTCGTTGGTCTTCCATTTATCGCGTATGCGAACATTCCAACAGGGGACCCACATCGAGCCGTAACATGATCGCTACGTACACGCGAGCACTTTGATCCCGACAGTTTCTGAAGCGACACACCTCCCTCAAAAGCGGCAACTACTGAAATGGCACCAACCGTTCGTTCTCTTCAACGCAACAAAAGCGTTGTTGTCATCCCGAAAATTGCGACTAAAGCGTCGCCATCCCGAAAAATTGTCGACTGTTCTGTAGGGTTGCCCGAGCAACTTCCTCAAACGGTAGCCCAAGACATTCCGCCAAAACCCGAACCACCGCTGGTAGCGCGGAAGGTACGTTCGGATTCTGCATGGACCCGAAGACGCGAACGAAAGAAGAGGGCAGGGGTTGTCAAAACATCAAAGACGAGACTCCGAACGACCAAGGTGCGATTGTTTTTCGTGGTGGTATTGATTGGGGGGTTTGGGCAAGCACGCACCACTGAGGGGTTCCACAGTCCGACCATCTCAGGACCGAAGAGAAAGAGAACCGGCGAAGCGGCGGTGGGGGGGAAGAAACGGCGACCGGGCACTGCTGTAGAAGCGAGTAGGGCGGCCGAGGCAGCGCTTGTGGCGAACTATGTACCCGGCTGATGTTGTTGCGCCCTGTTTCCCTCCCTGCTGTATGCTATACTCCTTAATGTCTGTCCTTTGTATTGCCTTCGGCCTCTGTGATTTTTTTCATGACCTCCCTGCCTACTCTGCTGTGTTGGGTACCTTGAAATCGCTTTGCTATTGCCTTTGTTTTTGTACGTCTGGCTGCCTGCCCATCTGCCGCCTCTTTGCCCTGTTTGCTCCGTTACTCCCATGCCCTGGTGCGTGGTGCCTGGTGCTGGTACGTTACCCTTTTATTTTTTCTTTGGGCAGGTGTGGGAAGCGTCCTCCTTTATTTTGTTTTGTTTTATTTTGATCGGTGTCCGAAGGCTCTTTTCTCGAACGGTCGCTGCGATACCTGTTCTTTTCTTTCTATCATTATGTTTTCTTTTTCCGAGTGGTTTGTACCCTATTTTTGTTTTTTTTGTTTTCTCGCGGCGTCGTATGTGCCGGGTTTTGAGACCACGGGCTCCCCATTTTTTGTGGACTGTATAGAGCTAATGTGAGAGAAACAACAACAACAACAACATCGGCAGGCTCTTGTGGATTTCGCGCATAAAACCTTCTGTGGAATGCTCTCATGTCTGGCTTGCTAGGCGGCGTCTACATAGCACACCTACAAACAGCACACCAACAAATAGGTTCATTTGCCATTGCCACTCATTACGTTTGTATACCGCGTTATTGACCGGTCACACTATAACAACCTGCGATAGTCAAAACTGGTTCCACACGAGCTTGTTGTTGCGACACGTTTGCCAGCGCAAGGCGAGATAGAGGGCTGGATCTATGCCACACTCACACGTTGAGCAAATAATCGGCACGTCACACACAAATCTATCTGTTCTTGAAACGAACGTAACATCGAGTATGGATAGTTGTAACACTTGGGAGTTGGGATCCAGAGACACGATCGCGTAAACCTCCGCATATGAGTAGATATGGTCTTTGCTGTCACTAATGCCATTAATACGGCCTAAATCGTGGACGATATTGGTGCTCCCTCCTTTCCGTGTTCTAGGTTAGATACGTCTCCAGACCTTTGCCGAAATCAGAGGTGTGGGTATGTGGTGCCGGCGTGGTGGCGTACACTCTAGTTGCAATATGTAAGCAAAACCCGCCGTACCTGTTTCTTTGGTTTGTCGTGTCCCTTTCGGCACCCCGAGAAGCCCAGATAAGGTGCATCCGTTTCAACCATAAGCCTATCCAACGGAATTCGCTTCACCTGGGGTGTGTACAAGATTGAGCCCGTCAACAATAATTAACCCATAGCAGAGGGCTCTAAAAAGAGCGAGATAACTGAGTACGATGGGTACGATGCGACCGATGACTACCGAGAGAAGCAACAATAAACTAGCAACAATATGCCCTCTCCAAGCCCATAACTAAAAAGAACGGTCCGCTTTGATTTATTCATGTCACACGTCGTGAACCAGCACGCCAATTCTTCACAACCCAGCACTACGGCTAAAAGAACGGTCGAAAGCCCTCAGCCAATATCGACTTCAAGACAGCATCGCGTGCCTATACAAGGATCGGCTTCCGCGGTGCTCACCGCTGCTCGAAGTGCCGCTCCACTCTTCTCCCTGCAGATACCCCCAGCCACACTCACGAAGAAGCCCATGTCAACGTACGCAGTCAACTCCTGAAGTGTGGCCACAGCAGCCAGATGCAAACGGACGAAAACGTCGGGATGGGGAGAAAATGTACGGGGTCAGGAAGCGCATCCATGTGCCAATGCCCCGACGAAATAAATGCTTGATTGAAACATTCGTAAGCGGCAGCAATCCTCTCGACAACACCGTAGACTTGATGCAGTAGAAGTGGCATCGCCCACACATAAAAAGAGATGTCTCCAGCCCAGCGTACTAAACACAAGCGATCAGCCATCCTGGGGACAAGAGTCGTCGGCCTTGCGCATTGACGACAAGCAGGCCCTTATACCTCCTCTGATCCGGTAAAACAATGCACCAAGCACGGAGGCAGACCATGCGAGGCATCGTATCGCCGTAGAACCTGCCATGCCGCCAGCGTAGAAAAGAATCGGGTGTGTCACTCAGCGGTCGGTGGGGTCGGTTTGGCAAATCTATCTGACCATATTCAATCTTTGCATCTTTGCTTTATACTCAGCGCTGGATAACCAATTCAGCAGCTCAAAGAGTGAACTTCGGGACAACACAAAAGCACCACTATTCGGGTAGCGAAGCGGACATGCGCTGACTTCCTCACCTCCGAAAAATCGACGAATGCCGCACGCTCGTGGAGGAAAAGTGGCTTCTTTAACTGCATGGAACGGTTCGTGACACGGCCGGCAGGTTAATTAAGTTCGGCAATTTTTCTGCACCACGAAACAATTCGTAATGCTTCCTTCCATGTGGCACGATAACGCCGACCCGAACAATCACCGTGCTTGGCTGCCGCATCCCTGTCCAACGGCAAGTACGGCAGGTTGGGCGTCGGCGCATGAAGCAATCAAGCCTGCTCTCGAAGCGGAATACGGGATGCCTATGCATATCACCGTCGCTCACCTTGCACGCAAGCTCGACCTGTCTCTCAAACCACGGCAGCTGCAGTTCGGCCGCGGGAAAGCCTTCTGAGTAGTCCAAACCGCATTCTCCCACGCAACGAGCTTCGCACGCAAGTGAATCAGATGCAGGCGACGGGCCACGTTATGGATGAAAAGGCTCAGTGCCAGTGTCACGATTTTGAAGAACTAAGGCGCTCCGCCGTAGAGCACAGGGCGCGCCATGTAGTGCATGGGCACAAACGAGCGGTGAAGAAAACAAAGCGAGTTAGAACTAGTCTTCCCAGCGGGACCACTTCAGTTCGTAATCATCAATGTTGCACAGACCCAGCGGCTCACGCCCTGCAAATCCACTTTCAGTATGTGCGGCGTAGATATACAAGTTTATCCCGTTTGGGCTCCGTTCGGGACAAAGGAACAGAGCTCACCAAGCCCGAGCCTCACGAATGATGTCTGCGTGTGTATGTGGACTACGAAGATCGACGAGAAGTTGCGAGGAACGCAGTTCTCCTTAAAGCAAACGTTTACCTTCCTCCGTTGCTGCGAGAGTGGCGATGCTCGCCATGGCATCCTCGAGCGAGTCGCACCCCTGGACGTGGTATGGATGGACGCCAGCAGTCGAGAACACGACCTTGCGGCAAAACGTGCGTGGAGCCGACAAAGGAGTCTTATGTGGGAGATGCAGTGATACGTTGCCCCCTTAGATGCAGCAGTAGTCAGCTTGTCTGCTTTTTCTACATGGAATCAAGCGCACAATAGAAAGTGGTGAACATGGCGGCCGCTGAGATAATGCGCAATTTGCAGCAACCAACGCAGGCGAGTCACAGACAGTGATCAATGCAGAGCTCAGATGCACGCGCAGTACGGGGTTTACAGAGCCCTAATCAGACTGTTGAAAGCAAGCCGACGAATATCGTCGGCGTTGCTAGTCCCGAGCTGGCTTTGTTTTTTTGCTCATTGTTTCAGGCTTGAGAACGCAAGCGGGACGGACTCCTCACGTACGCATGCTTCAGGCAGTGGCATTTCGATAAGCGCGACAAATGTAAACACTACACTGAACCGAGTCAAAAGAGGTTTGAAAACGGCCTAGTTCTACCACCAGAAATTATTTTGTGTTTTGCAACGGCAACCCATAAACCTGCTCAGCATACAAGAGGTTTTGATGCCCGAGTGTGTCAGTTGTGCGGCGGCCTAGAGGTTGATGCACGATCGCATGTGGAATCTACTACTGTTGTTGTGCAACAAGTACAAGATACAAGATGGCGACGGCCACTGCATTTCATAATTATTGCAAACCTCCACCTCGAGGCAAACGCGTTGTGCACGCAAGGGCCCCGAGCGCAAGCTTCAGGAGAAAGAAGAAAGGTGCGCGATCTCCCTAGTACAAACCAATTGCACAGACAAATGGTAACACTTGCTCCCTTTTTGCTCGTGCAAACACACCTTGCAACAAGCACGCCCCTTGTTGTGTACGTAAGCACGGCTGTTACTCATCCTACTAGCGTACGAATTCAACAATACACGCATTAAAGACGGAAGGTGCATGCCCTCATTCGTACGCAAAACAAATTGTGAGGCGGCGTCCACATGATGATGTACTCCATGCTTGGCTTGGTCAACAGGCGTTAGCCTGTGTTCAGCAACAAAAGAGGGACAGGCAAATAACGGGACCGAAAAGGAACAACGAATACGCACGACGCAAAAATTAGTAAACGGACTACAAGTACACCAAGCAAAATCGTAGACAAATAACTAAATACCCTTTCAGAAAGCTTCCCGTGGGTAGAGAGAGGGGCGATCTTTCTAACAAAAAAACACGGGGGGAAAGGCCCCGGGGGGGGGGACGTTGTCTCTTTTCTGCTCTGATGCACCTGCTGTACAACGCAACAAAGCGCTGACGCGTTAACCCAGACGATACCAGGACTCAACAGCATCTATGGTCCAGTTGGGGCTTCCACCAATCCACTTTGCCGCCCTGCACTTAGGTGCACTTTTCTCGGGGTAGGGGTGGTTGTTCCGAATTCCAAAAAAAACGTAAAAAGCCCTGTCTCCAGGCGAAGAAACTTAAAGTTCTGTTTTTATATTTTTATTCGTTGACTTTTTGCTTCGAAATAACCAGAAAAAATGTTCAAGTTCTGCTGGAGGGTCTACTTTTCAGAGGAAAAATCTGAGACCGGATTCCGACAGCTCTTGGAATCTGCCAGATGGCTCTTCTTTCTAATTTTGAAAATATCAAGAAACGACGAAGTTATGTCCCATAAACCGATTCTGGAAGGGCACTTTGTTCAAGATCTTGAGCGAGAACCAACTCCACGCTTTAAAAATAAAGTGCGGCAAACGATTCCTCTCGAAATTCGGCGGATGGCGCATCTTTCACATTTTTCGAAAAACTTTATTTCATGATATCATGTCATGTGCTTGCCGCTGTGAGAGACGAACAGCTCTCGCACGCACACACACCAACACACATGCACCCGTCAACAAAGCAGCGCACAAGTAATCACACGGCCACACACCGGTCGCCCCGGTGGTCTAGTGGGTAGCCTCGAGGTCTGCTAAGGGCCAAGTCATGGGTTCGAGTCCCGATAGAGTGAGTTTTTTCTCGCGCGTTAATCCTGATCTCCGTTGGAAGCGACGCGCTGCAAAGCTCGTTGTTAGTGAATAAACTTGATCGACTTCACAAGTCGCGAGGGAAGGGATTGCTGTACCCTTCTCGCGATAAAAAATATCTCAGGCAGGAACCGCAGGAAGGGGTCCAACCTCCCCCTCCTATGTGATCCCGGTTGGGTCGTCTACAGGTAGCTGGTAGAAGTGGAGGATAGGGGCCAGAGGGGCAGTCGACAAAGTCCAATGATGGGAGACAAAAAAAAAAAAGCCCCACACATGGGACGACCCAAGAAAAAAGCTACAAAGAGGGCGCGGAGGGCGGATGGAACCATTTTATTTGTCCCGTGCTTTGATATTTACTTCATTCGTATTTGTTTGTGCATGTCAAACCGATTATTGACCGTTGGTGTTGGGTTGCAGTCGCTCCCACCGGTGTGTGTTATAATGTATGCATAAAGATGCATGTGATCTGAAAAAGGGTGGTGTAATGTTTGTACAAATGCAATGGGATATTTGGTGTTTGATATACACATCATACATATGCATATGCATACGAGCATACATCATGCAGTAACAATTGGTGCAGAGCTTGAAAGCCATGGGAATTTCCGTGGTATGGTTAGGGTGTTCCGTGGTATGATAAGAGGTTCCGTGATATGTTCCGGGGGTTCCGTGGTATTGTTAGGGAGTTCCGTGGTATGTTAAAGGGGTTTCGTGGAATGATTAGGGGGTCCCGTGTATCACTTTGGCCAAAAATGTTGGAGGAGTAACCAGAAACGGGTATACCCGGATAGATTATCACCATTTCTGGGTACACTTGGAAATCAAGACGACACCAATCTCCGACAGCATCCGCCGTAGATCGCGGCGAAACCAATAGACTAAACAGCTGTCTGTGTCCTGTGTGTCCTGTGCCTCGGAAGCATGATGCACGAGGCAGGTCGTGCTCGTTTCCTCTCTCTCTGTGCTTTTACTGATCAGCACCACATCGAAGTACTCGCGCGTCAAGCGAGTCCGACCCTCTGTTGAGAAGGGCCGGTATTCCATGGAGGCGGTGCCCATGAACGATGAACGAGCGAGCGTTGTTGGTGGTGTGATTGTGGTTACNTGTGTCCTGTGCCTCGGAAGCATGATGCACGAGGCAGGTCGTGCTCGTTTCCTCTCTCTCTGTGCTTTTACTGATCAGCACCACATCGAAGTACTCGCGCGTCAAGCGAGTCCGACCCTCTGTTGAGAAGGGCCGGTATTCCATGGAGGCGGTGCCCATGAACGATGAACGAGCGAGCGTTGTTGGTGGTGTGATTGTGGTTACGTATGTGTGGTACACGGTATGTGCGGCACACGTTTTTTTCTGCGGGTTTTATGCTAGAGCGTCGGGCGCCGGGATTATATGACCATTTCTGGGTACAAAATTGACCTCTTCCGGGTAAACCAGTAACCAATATCGGTCACACCAGAGGGTCCTAGTTCCAGCGGAAGTTTACCTGATGGAGGTTTCCTCAGAAATGGGTACAATGGTTTTTCGGCCAATCAGCTGACAGCCTGGGGGTGCAAGCGTGTTGATTTCTAACTGTGGTGATGAAGAACCCGGGTACCCGTTTCTGGTTAGCGATTGGTCAAAATGTTGCATAGTCTCAAAACTAAAAAAAACTCTGCAGCTATCGACGTAGCTCGACGAAGCGATCACGAATGTCGATATTTCATGTTCCAACCCTGCTTTTTACAAAAGTTATCGCACAAAACGCGAATGGAAAAATTGTCCCGAACGGACCATATGAGAAGCATACCAAACGCACAAGAAGGGTGATTGGGGCAACTGGCACGCGAGAATGCTGCCACGAGGGAATGCCGCCCGTACGTTTGTATGCGAACGCCCGCGGGGCGCCCTAAAAAGTTGACGAAAACAATCAATATGATCACGCGACTAACTCAAAGGTGGTTTGGCGAAAAAATGTAAAACAAACAAAATCGATACCCCCCGGGGCCAACTCAAAGTTTGGGGTACACCCCAGCGTCCTTTTTGGTCGGGGGGGCTAACTCAAAGGATATTACGGTAGTGGTAGCAGTAGGGCATAACAACAGAAGAAGAAAAAAAAACATCTTCAGCAATGCGAGCACAGCAACAGTTGTACAAATCAAAAGGAGGAAAACAACCTGACACAACCAGATCGACAACAGCAGCTAGTTGTAAAAATCGAGACACATGAAAAAATGAACAGGGTGGTCCTGGAAATTGTATCACGCATGCAAAATTCACTCACTCTTCGGAGGGCTCCCCGGCCTGTTCAAGTGCTAGGCAGTATTCGTCTCCCGCGCGATCCGGTCCACCTCGTGGAAGACCTGCACGTGCACGAGCAATCCCGCTCTCCTGTTGTACTTACAAGTCCTTGTGACACGTGTTAACCCGTCCCGTCTCCGTTCAAGTCGCGGATGTATGGCTCAGCTCTTGCGCCATTGCCCTCTGGCTGCTCTTTCCCGATCCACCTGCTGCCATCACCGTGGAGGTAGACAGCACTGGGCGTTCCGTCCAGGGCTTGCCTCCTCCCTTCTGGTTGAGTAAACGTAGTCGAGGACCTCGTGACCGATCAGCGCCGGGCACAAGAAGCAAGCGAATATCTCGTTCCCCTTTTTAACTGTCGTCTTCGCAGTCGCCGTGAGGGACATACTCCTGTCATTGGATGCAACTGTTGACGCAAGTTCCAACAGGCAAAGGAATTGTACAGCGGTTTGGTAAACATTCATTCGTCGCGTCGATTTATCGACAAGCCCCTACCGTCGTGTCTGAATATGCCCGCTAGAGAAACAGAAAAACGAAAAGGTGCGGGCCACACATCAAGGTCGACGGCGTACAGCAGTCCACGAGGGCACACGAGTTACAGTGATGCGTAGCGTGCTTCGGTTTCAACGCCGCCATTTTCGGCATCAGCACTCTTCCTACTTGCGGCGGAACAATCGAGCTTTGAAAATCGGTCCAGGTGGTGTGGTGTGTTGTGTCACCTACGATAAACGGTACTTCCGGTGGGTATATTGTTCGCCAAAAACAGATTGGGTCGCTATTAGGTTGAACCCCGAAATATAGTAGCGGCACTTTGGGGAATCTCACACCCCGAATAGCGGCAGTTCCGAACGTGGGACTCTGGATGCGTTTCGCCCACGGGTACCCAAACACACACACCAGTGGGCGCCATACGCATCACGCCAGAGTGCGCGGATCTACAGAACTGAACTTTGTTAACTCACTTGGGAGAGAAGGACGAGCACCAATGTCGCTAAAGCGACACGGTAACTGGACATCAGAGCGTTCTCCAGTCACAGTAGAACTATAATAGTCGGTGAACGCCTATGGCTGCAAAGGAACTGTGACGGTTGGGATTGATCGATTGGGGGGGTGTTCGACGTCTGCTGCTTGGTTGCTCCAGTTGGTTTCGCGTATTGGTTCAACTTGATTTTTACTTGGTTCGATTCGAACACCATCTTACGTGGCTCACCGGAAAACGTTTACTTGCGTAACCTACTGCTTAACGGTGGTTGGTTTTTCTCAAAGCCTGAGTTGTTGCAAACTGGGCTGTGACCGCAAAAGAATGGCATCGCTGTCACTTGAAGAACAAGTACTTCGGTTGCACGTGACGGGCCGCGAGATCAGCTGTGTGTCAATTTGGAATTATCCGACCACGCAGAATTAATGTGTTTACGGGGCCAAGTACAACACACGCATGTACAACGCATGTACGTGAATCAATCCTTTTCTCGCCTAAAGCGGCAATACTGCGGTTGTTGGGGGGGGCCAAAGCGGCCATATTGCCGCAGTAGCGGAATAGCGGCCTGAATGGCATGTTTTTGGCTTGCCCCTACATGCCGCTATAATCGGGTCACCCACTGACAGTGCTGTAAACCGTGTTCACGGTTGAAGAATGTTATCTTAAACCGCAAGACACAGCCGGCAATTACGATAACGATACTAGCTTGTCACGACCCTCTGTAAAACCGTAGGCCGCTACACTACTGCATCTCAATGGCACTGTTGTCTCGAGTCTCGAGTCACGTGGGTCCTCTCTGCCTGGATTTTTCTTCTGAAGTTATCCCGTACAATATTTTTCTACACAGCAGTAGTGACAGCAGGATGTTCAATAATACGACCATACGTGCGCGACATCTGTGCTGTGTTTTATCTGTGTGCGTGACTGCCTACGGCTAGCCTATATGTCGAGGCACGCAGTATGCAGCAGGCTTCCTTGAGTTCTCACCTTATGCCGCAGCCCTTGTACCCGCCGGCGGCTCAATACTGTCTTTACCGCAATCGAGGCAAACGATCCTGCTCCGCCGTGAGTCATATCATCTCGTGCCTGAGAACCTCTTCTTGGAGGTTACGATCACGTTGCCAACTTGCCAGTTAATCAGCTTGGGAAGCGTCGTCAGACATATTTACTCTGGGCAGTCTCGAACGCGTGCTTCTGGACAGCAGCGTCACAGAGGGCAGCAGGTGAGAGCAGGCAAGCAAAGGCGAGCGGGAGGAGGGCCCGCGGCTGCGCTATACCCCACTCGTCTCGTAAACCCCAGCCGTCCGGAAAAAAAGATAAAAAAAGAACCGTAGTCTCCCCAGATCCCGAGATATGCAGGCTCCGAACACACTGCAGCAGCAGCAGCTGTGAGATGTGTTGTATGTTGTAGATACCAGCACGCACGATGACACCACACCGAACAAAGGGCCATAAGGCCTTGCACGCACGTCTTACGCAGCCCGCGCTCTCGTCTTTGTTCATAGAGCGCATCGCCCGCCTCTATGTTTCTACCAGTCATGATGCTCCGCCTCCTTTCCCCTCCTCTCTCTAGACAGAGGAAGAAAAACACGCACACGCACCCGCCGTAGTGTCCCGCTAGACAACATCAAGCACAATACAGAACAGACTCTCTACGCGAAAGGCGGCTGCAGCAGCAGCAGTACAAGAAGAACACGGCGGGTGTCGAGTTTGAGCTTCTTGGGATGAGGTCTCGCGGACGATAAAACTCAGCCTGATCCCAACGTTCGTCGTCAAACGCAACCAACAACGTAGCTACATGTAGCAGCGTGCCTCCGCGAGCAGTTCACCCGTTCCCGTTGGAGAGATCGTGCAAGCATCTCGGTTACACACAGAGAGCTGCTTGAGTTCATGTGCGAGATTCCCTAGCAAGTACAACGCTAGAAGCATTGCGCAGCAGCAATGGGAGCAGAACGGGCGCTGCATGATGCGTGCGGGGTGATGAGCGTGTTCATCAAGAAAGAAGGTCCCTCGACAACAAGTCAACCCGCTACAAAGTATCAAAGATGCAGAAACCGGTTCTCGCGCCACAGCAAGCGATAGCTGCTCGAGCAACAGTGAGAGGTCTTGAAATCGTCAACGCAACACAGAACTGCTGGTAGTTCTCCGAGGTGTGCAGTGTGGGCTGAGATCGGCTTTTGAGACCCGATCGGTCACGGGAGGGGGGTTGCGAATACAAATGACACAGAAAAAAAGACTTCTGGTCGACAGAGACCCAAGTAGAGTTGCACACTGGCGAATAAAACGGACGGTGACACGTGACACATCTCGTTCCTCGCTCAAAACACGCTATTCAATACGGATGGTGGAAACGTCTGATTCATGTATGGCCACGTCTTGGACGCGGGTATTGCCTTGGTCCAAAAAGGCTATCAAATGTGATATATTCGGGGCAGTTGTGTACAAACGGGTCCTTTCGAGGAACTGCGGCCATGGTCGGGGACCCACACACTACAGAGTTGATATGTGAATAAGTAGGATGTGCTGCTCACATTGGGTTTTCGTCGCGCCAGTTCCAAAGAGCCCCGGCTGTCTTCCACTGTGCTCCCAGGTACCACGAATTGCTTTACCCCAACCGAAGAGGCTACCTGGACCGCAAAGCAAAATCATGACAAGAACATCGCGGTCGTGCGGTCGGTGTACATACGAGGACGCGGGGCAACCGCTGTCAACATCGCATATGTAGTACGCGCGCTTGCCATATACTCCCGCTTTACATTCCCACCAGCACATTATCTACTTTCCACCTGTATGTGATGGTCGATGTCGTTGGAGAGGTCGGCATGCAGCAGATTTGCATCGACATCGACGATATAACTGCTCGTGTCGCCTGCGTCCGCAGCTGCGGTTGTGCGAAGTGCTCGTACCCCGCGCCCGATAGGAAGGCGGGTATTGAATGCTGCCGCCGGACGATTCAAGTGGACTGCAAGCGACAAAAAGAGACCAATAGCACTTCGGTGTTCCATGTTAACGTCTACTCCGCTACGCCTGCCTTGCCCGTGCGTCGCAGTGCAGTGTTGCAGCTGGCAGTGGCTCATCAGGCGGGGACAAGCTCAAACCAGATCTACGTAATCTCCGAAAACGGAGTTCAACGAAAAACACGCCGAACGATGAACACGAGAGGAGAGGAGAGAGGAGGAGACAAATTTGGTAGCAGCAGCAACAGAGCTACTCAAGACCCGAGCCGGTACGCCCGCGAAAGTAACCTAAGCGAAAGAATGAAGAGCGCATTGGCCACCATGGCGGTTTCGGTCACAGCGGGTGAGATTTGGCTTCCCGGGAGGGTCCGACTGGTCCTTCTCATGATCTATCTCTGAATCGTGGGCAGATGTGGTTCGTTCCCTCCCATGTGTTCATGAAGCCCCCCGCCTGTAGGATTATTGTTGCCCCGGAGACAACGTGAGCGCCAGCATGGTACGCATTTCTTGGGCCTCGTGCTTCCAGCATGCGGAGGGAAAAGCCAAGATTACACGCATCCCCAACTCAATCTGTTTCTTTGGTACAACTCACACCCGATTCTGTCTGCATCGCACACCCGCTGACACGCCCAAACGTGCGTATCTCGAACTCAATTGTGTGTGTGCTGTGTCTCAGCCTCGTTTGCCTCAGCGTTCGTGGGGTCTCCTCTCCCTCTACGAGCGCTGGCGAGCAGACCCTCGTGCTCCACGAGCGCGTACCGCGCACGGCCTACCCGCATGACGGCAGAAGATGACGAGGTGGAACCAAAGGTATGATCTTTTGGCGGCGGAATCCCTCATGTTGAAGATGTTGCGTGGCAACATGCGTCGTGACGAGTGAAGAACATCAGACTGTTTAGCCAAACGGGTTCAACACACAAACCTCGAACACCCAACTCTTCCCAACCCCCTCCTTCTACTTCCTCCCAGTATACACGCAGCGCGATGCATAAGATGGCTACCAAACTGTCCTGTTAGCCTGGAAATACCTTGAAGGGGCGATGTCGCCTTCGTTGCTGCGCCTGGAGAGGTGGTCCGTCTGCTGGTGACTTCATCGCTAATTGGTCCTCGGGGCAGATATCTGAGATAATGAGCTCAGCGGCAGGCGCCGCACCATGGCCTAGAGTATCTCCCAGCAAGGAGCAATTGCATGTGCTCAATGGCAGCGACACAACAAAATATCCGTCTGAGCCTGATTTTCAGCTTTTACGAGCGGGCCGGTGGTAATCACAGCAATTTGTGTAACTATGCCGGCGTCCTTTCCTTGAGGCGCCCGCCGAAGATTTGGGGGTTCGCGGCACCCGCGACTTCGTGCTCGAGGTCGTTCTTCCTAGACTCTGGTTCTGGCAGATATATACCCTAGCAGGATTATGTTCGGTGTTTAGCAGGCGATCCTTTCTCTGCAGTGTGTGGGGGCTCCCCCCCCCCCACTGCTGTGGTTGCTAAGATACAAGCATTTCGCCTCGGATAGCGTCCTCCTGCCTTCGATGGAGGACAGCTGGCGCTGCGCTGGCTCTCTGGCTCTCTACACAGCGGTACTTTAGTGGTTTGACAGCTGTGCATACAAGCACGAGTTTCCGTCAGGAGATCTGCGTATGCATGCATTGGCACACCCAAGAGGTGCAGCGTTCCAACATTCCCCGCCGGATTTCGACCGCAGGGCCTACAAGATTCAGGCGAACGATGACTACTGCTGTAGTCGATGCCTCGAAACGCCGTGCTGGGTCTCTTATGTAACATGGTGTTGTGACCGGTCAATGTATCCCCCCTCCCGAAGGTGTACTACGCCTCTGAGGTGACGGACGGAAACAAGAAGACTACCTTCAATCGGGAGATGGGCGAACAGCCCTTGCCGGAGAACACGGCCGCAACAAGATCCGACAGGTACATATGTTGAAGATGCCACAGTAGTGACGAATATGGGTACGCACCCCAGGGAATGATCGCGAGCACCTCCGTTTGGTGGATGGGGGCCGGAAGCCGCCCGTCCTGGGTTGAAATCACGTTCATGTGATGCTTGCTCAAAAGAGCGGATGAAAACTTGCGTGAGCCACTTGGTGTCGGGTTTGAAGCCTCACGAGATCCTGGAGGCCGTTGTTTCGATCGAGTGCGGCACATACCAACCAGCGTACCCTCTTCGAAGTAAATCTTTGTGGGAATACATGTATTGCTGCTTCTTCAGACTTATGTAGGTTTGTCGATACTGCTGTGATTTTCTGTTTTCTTGTGCGATAGTCTATTCGGCCGACGTTGCCCGCACTATTTTTCATGTGTATCCTTCATGGGCTTCGTTGTTAATCGGATCGTTCGCGACAGGTACGGCCCCGCGGACTACGAGGGCTTCGTCGACAGCGAAGGATTTGACGGGGGTGACGGACAGGTTGGCGTCGTTGGAGACGGTGAGTTTGCTCGCTGCTACAATTACACTACTGTAGGTCGCCGCCGCCGCCGCGAGATGTTTGGTCTGCTCTGAGGTGTCGTGCACGAAGAGGCCTGCCTTGGTTGCATCACTCGAAAAGAACGAGCCCCTACCAGGAATTCGCTCACCTCGCTGTCTCTTTACACTCCTGTCAATGGTCGACCGTGTGCTCCCATGAACGGGTGAGCGGACCAGGTATGGGTAGAAGTGCCCCCACCCTCCTGATCACGAGTTTGTTTGCTTCAGTAGCGAGTTCGCGCGAGGAAGATCAAACCCTTGCTGCGTTGCCAAACCTCGGCAGTCGGCAGATGTACGTACTCAGGTAGTCGGCTCTTTGCACAGCGCTCCCGGCTCTTGTTGCGCGGGCTCCATTTTCTGTCCAGGATGGCTTGATTGATTTCGCCTCTGTTTTCTTTTCACTCTAGCCTGTATGCTTGCCCCTTTCTTGATCCGTTCCTGTCTTCTTGTCCTCTTCCCACGATTGACCTTCCACAGGAGGTAATGCCATGGAGCAGTTCGACCAGAGTACCGTCAGCCGAGCTCAGGATATGAAGGCGAAAGTCAAGGCGTCTACGATGGTCCAGGAGTCTAAGGCTCGTCAAAGGAACGCGTGGGGCGGCGGCAGCACTGTAAGCGAACGTTTTTTCTTTTTGAACATTTGCATACCACGGAGCGAACATGCTTGGTGGTGTCGATGTCTCGACAAAGGGAGCATGGTGCCTTGCGCTCTTGGTCGATGACCCCTTTCCATGTTGGGTTCGCGGCGGTGGGGTGTGGCGTTATGCAAATACCTGTCCCTCTCGGCGGGCGCCTTCGTTGTGGCATTTCTCTGATCCAGCTACGTGGGAGCTGAGGTCCTAGGAGTCTCCAAGGGCCAGAGCCCACCGGTTTGTTTGTTCTGTGGTAGTAGTAGGTGTCACGTTGTTGTCGTCCACATGCCCTTCAACGAATCAACGGTTGATGTGCGGCATTCATGGCAGGGATACGCGGACGAGCTCAAGGAGCAGGGCATGGTATCATACAACGCAGCGGGCGAGGACATCAGCAAGGTCCGCCGCCAGCAGTTCGAGGTGAGCGGTAGGATGCGGGAGCGCATCCAGCGGTGCCAATGCAAGCACCAACACGAACCATCGGTCGATATCCACCAAAAATGTGTCGGCGTTTATGGCGTTTCTCGCATGCCGCGCGAAACGAAGATGGAAACGTCGTTACTGCTTCGCCCCCAAGTTTGTGTGTGTATGCTGTGTTGCTCCCTTGCGATGCATTCCTTTTGACCTGGTCCCCCCTTTTTTTTTCGTTCGCCGTGCCACGCAGAACTACCGCAACCAGCAAGAAATCACTAGGAGGCAACGCGCCGACAACAGCGTGATGGAAGCTATGACGGGAACGGGCACGATAGACGACAACACCAGCAAGTGGAAGGTGGGTGACGTGCCGTGGTTGCGGACATAACAGCTGTGGTTGGCTTCGTAGTCTTCTTCACGTCCGAATTCGACATACTTGCTATCATAATGTAGAATTGAAGCATGGTAGGGAAAGTTCTTGGTATGCGGATCAATGGTGTAGTTTCCACGTCGTGTTGGAGCACAATTTCTCCCATGTGCAACCCCCGATTCCATCAAAGAGCAAGAAACCCAGGCACGGTGTTTGTTCTGCAAGGGTCCTGTTTGTTGGCGGCGACGTGTCGATTGCAAAGTGGGCGGCACGGTGCACAGTGGGTGCTTCCACGATGCTGCTTATGACGTATGCTGCTTGTGCAACCGCTCGTTGCTGCCATGTCCTATACACTCCGCGCCTTCCCTGTCTCTCCCCTTTGGAAATTCGTTGCCTGTAGAGGGGCGGCAGGTCCAGCTACTTCGACAATATTAACGCGGCCCCTGAAGAGGCGGTGGACCAGAGCTGGAATAAGTACAGCGCCCCGGTTACTTCTGGGATGAAGGTGGGTTTAGTTTTGGGCCGACCGCGAGCGTGACTGCAACTATTTACTTCAAAGAGTGTACTTGTATGTTCGCCATCAAGAGCAGTGTATGCATGTTGGAGAGTGTGACGTTTCGCCCACTCGAACACCAACAGGATGACAGAAGCTTAGGTATAGGGACTTGGTCTCAGACTTGACCGCGTCCCGAGCTTCTCGAGTGTTCGTAATGGATTGATACTTGGGTTGAGTTGAGATATTATTGGCAAGCGGCACCATCAAACTATCCGAACTTCTCGTTGATATTCGCCAATGGTAGAAAAACGGGTTGCGTTTGGTGCGCTGTTTGGAGTGTTGTGCGCACACAACAACGTGTATGTACCGTCGTGTATATGCCACTGTTTTGTTGTTTTCATCTTGGACAGGATGGCACTGAGTGGGGTGAGACCACCCTGACCGGCAACGAGAAGATCGAGGATACGGTGCAGTGCATCTCCACCAGTGGGCGACCAGGACACGCTACTCTAAAAGTGAGTCAGGGCGAGGAAGAGAGAGAGAGAGATAAACCGAGACAGAAGGACGAGCGATAGAGGGAGGGGGACGGGGGCAGAGAGAGAGAGAGAGAGAGAGAGAGAGAGAGAGAGAGAGAGAGAGAGAGAGAGAGGGTTTTATATTCCTGCCGTGACTTTGACATGGGCAATCGTATCCTCTCGTTCGCTCGTTCGCGGGAAACGTTTAGGTGAAGAGCACCGTCATGACCTTCGAGCCGTTCCACTGCACCTTCGTTGGGGACGCTCGAGGGTTCAAAGTGACCCCAGAGGAAGGGACGCTCAATCGCAGGGGCGGTGACCCCCAAGAGCTCGACGTGTCCTACATGGGCAACGTGAGGGAGTTACCGTTTTTGCTTGTTGATGCTTTTGGCGCCAGGAGCGTTGGTCCCGGGATGTTGCCCCCCCTCCCATCTTTCGCACTTGATGATGTGAGAGCCTGGTTCGGTGAGAACCTGGCGTGCTCAGTCCCGGCTTGTAGTGATGCGAGGTCAATAGTCTA